AATGCGCGCAATCAGCGGTCTGCGCGCAGCCCAGTCCCTTCCCGATCACATAAACAGCACTTCAACGAAAATATACACGGCCACCTACCGCGCACAGGGAAAGTGAAGGGGGGGATGAAGGGGGCAGGGTACCCGCGTCGACTTTACACTGTTTTCAATTAAAGTGACAATGCTGAGTGAGCTGCAGACAACACCCAGGAGGCAAAAGAACGCAAAAACAATTTATATCGCAATTAATCCGTAAAAATGTTTAATTCGATTGAATAGTTCAACTGTCATTGAACTATGTGGCATTAAGACTCAGACGCATTGACTAAACCAATTCTTTTCTTTTCAGTTTGTGAGTTCTGCGTAGTACAATCTACGTCCCTGCTCTGTCTCTGTTATCCACCATATTATATAACTTAATCATTTATTCCCGCCAATCGTGGGCAGAAAATTATAGAGATAAAAGACAAAACAGTAAATGCAGCAAACTTCGATATCCTTTGCAGGCCCGCTGATGCAAATGAAGAGTCTCTTTAACATGCCGTTTAAAATATTTTTTGGCATTTGAGACTTTTAATTGCATTACTAACCGTTTCGAGCATATATTTTAGAAAATATGCTCAGTGTAGTAATTGGGTTAACATCACGCGCATTTCCTCTTGAGGCTATGGGGGCATTTGGATGATAAACCTCCGTACGCTGACCTCAGAGACAAAGCTTTCTCCAAAAACTTGACTCAAGTTCAGTTCGGATGGATTCGGGCCCAGTTGATGGATTTTTCTGGAGCGTTGTCCTCCAAACAAAGTCTGTGCGGCCCCTCGGTGACCCTCTGCCGCCCTCTTTCACCACCCAGGAGACAAACTGTTGAAACTATTACTCAGACATGATGCTCTGTGGATGAAAAATTCAATTTATGCTTAACACTTAAAATGCGAAGGCGGGTTTCGATGAGCCAATGTTTCTGTTTCTGCGTCCTGCTGACCACTGCTACTATTGGGTCTGTGATTCGTGGCCTGCTGCAGGTGTCATTTCTGAGTTCATCTGGATAGATAAATAAATTAATAATAATAATAATAATAATAATAATAATAATAATAATAATAATAATAAGCTAAGGATGGCCAGGTAGGTTCAGATGGCTCTTCATGTTTCCATACATCACAAAGGTTCCACTAGAGCTGACACACAAGTTTTATTCAGATTGGTTGCACTTGCTCATTAACTTGAAATATAATCTGAATTTGTGTGTGTGTGTGTGTGTGTGTGTTCAAGCAGATCCAAAACATCTGCTGATTTCATTAGTAAGAACCTGTTTTAATTACAAATGTAAGTCTCCTAGTTTTTGTATGAAATAGAAGAGGCAACTCCTCAAAGCTCATTTAATTTCATGTGTTTAATGTTTGATACTTGGGGCCCACAGTGGCACATTTATGGAGGTGGTCATTGTCCCCCTGGAAACCCTTGAAGTCGCCGCCGATCATGTATTTGTGTCTCGTTTTGATCTGAACAGGCGCTAGAAACGTTTCTTTTTTCTTTTCTTTTTAATTAAACACCATTAAGGACTGAAGTAATTCATAAGACAATGACGACGTTCCAATTACAAGGAGCAGTCGTATGACATGCATAAGTTAATGTAACATGCATTTTTGCGCTCGACATCTAGGCTGTGTTTAATATTTCAGAGTGTTGTACCTGGCCTGAAGTGACTGAACATTCCTGAGGGTGCAGCGCTGTCAAATATTTCATGTTGGGACGTCATGGAAAAGTGCAGGACTTTGTCTGTGACGGAGCAACAGGGAAGCTCTGATCTCGGCTCCCAAGCCTCTGCATGCAGTAATGAACACGCAGATCTTTCTCTCTCTCTTTTTTTTTTTTTACCACTTTCTCATGGCAGCGTTTTCCTTTGTGGCTCAAACATGTTGAACATGTTGGCAGAAGGTAGAGTGACATTAATGAATGGCCTCTCTCCTGAACGTACAGCTGGAACAGGGCAAAAGGAGAAATGCCGCTTTGAGCGCCGAATCAGCGTCCAACACTGATGGATAAACATTTTTATGTTACAGAAACTGACAGAGCCGGCCTGATGTACAAGCAGGCTTTGCGGCTGCTGAAGGCCACCGCTGGCCATGGGAGCCAGGAGGAAACTTTTTTCTATAAATTAATCAGCTTGTTTGTTTATGAAGTGTTTTTAAAGATAAGCCAAGCTTCCTGCATTTGTTTATATTGTAACTCCCTTATACATTTTTATTATAATATAGTGTTACATTTATATCATAAACCTTTTGCAAAGCTGCTGAAGTGATTGAAACTTAAACAGACTCTATAAAGCCCGAGCCTTTTCAGTGTCATTCTAAAATCTAAATAATTCCTGGCTTAATTTAACATAATTACATTATGAAATTCTCTTATGTTAAGTTGGTGCAAATTTTTTATTTTTTTTTAAATCAGAGAATTTTTTTTTAACATTTGCTTTCTGCCAACTTCATCTGTGATATTTCTAATTGATCTGCAAGTCAGAGAAACTTGTTGGATTTTGCTGTCTGCAGAAATGTGATGAACATAACTGCCTTTAAATCTCTGAATCCTAAACAGTCCTGTCATGTTACTAAACATTTGCCGTTCTTATGTTTAAATTCATTTTTTTTCTAAAATTATCTTTTTAAAATCATACTATAATGATTTTCCTCTAAATTAACCATGTTGCTGATTAGACTTTAAGAAAATGATCACATAGTTTTTACATTTGTTTGACTTTGTCATTAGCTTAACTTTAGAAGTTATAACACAATTCACCTAAATATATTACCAGACAAACAGTGTTGCTGAATTTTGCTATTTAATTAAAGAACGATGAAAAAGTAAAAGACGGTCTTGTATAGAAAAATTTGGGCAATGCTGAACATAAAAATGAACACTTTATTCCAAATGGCATTCATTTAAAAATGAGAAGTGACTGTGTGCTTATCAAGTCAGAAACAACCAGGATTTTGTGTGAATTGAATCCATTCATTCTTGCTCTCTACTCGGTGGTAAAACAAGCTGAAGGATGTAAAATTCAAAAATGACCAATCAAAGTTGCGCTGTGGGGTGGGCCCCCTCATGTGAAATCCCGGAATTAAGGCCTTGTACCTCCTTGAGCCGGCTCTGGAAACTGGCCTGAGACGCATGAGCAAAAAAGTAAAAAAAAAAAAAAAAAAAAATCTAAATATGCCTTCTCCTTTTGGAGTAATATGACATGAGACGACTGAGCGTGAGAGAGAGGAAAAGCCTTAATGGAATGAAGTCATCAGCGGTAATTAAATGCAGTGGGCAGAGGGGAGCACGGGAGCGCGCCTGCCTGTCCCTGGTGCGCGCTGGGTGGTCCGCTTCACTGTTGAATATGCGGCTCTCAGTGCAAGAGAGCGGCCGAGCAGAGTCGAATCAGTGACGCACATGGGCATTTATGTTCGACTTTAACTCTTCTGCATGACTGGAACAAAGGGCGACATCTAATTTCCAACATATTATTGTGAAATATGTGTATGTGAAGCAGCCATGCACATCCTATATTAACTGAGAGATCATTTAAAAGTCGTCATGTATGTAAATCTGCTACCTACATAGCACTAAAGAAAAGCTTTACTCGCATGAAGACGCTCTATCAAGGTGTTCTCTGATTTTACGCAGAGGCCAGATGTTTACTTTTTTTTGATGCTTCAAACAGCCAAGTATGATTTTTCACTTCTAAGAATGAGAACCAATAAATAAAACAATGGAAAGGTTAACTTCACCCGCGGGTTTTGAAGAAACTGAAGGCTGCAGCCATCTGAGATCTCCTGGGAACAATAAGGAACTCACTGTCAACAGTTTTAGGCTATATGGACTGATCTCACTCCCAGGGTGAAACAGGCTAAAGCCACAGGTCAGTTTAAAAAACAACAACAACAACAAAAACAAAAACATGCACAAGCAAACTCGTGCGCACCGTCCTCTGATTGATTTGTAGCCCAGTCCTAATTTCTAGAGCTTCATGCATGTTTTAATCTCAACCCTTAGTCCTTTCCATCTCTCACACAGCAAGCGCAGAGTTCCTCCTAACGCGCCGCATCTTTAAAACGACCACCGATCTCGTTGTGGGTCTGGTAAATCCTTACCTCGGATCCCGGATCACTCCGTGATTTCTCTCCCCTGCAGGAGTCGATCTCAAGTCCTCCGTCCGAGTTTGTGCGCTCCCAGCTCGGCTGAGTCTCCACCTCACTCCTCCCGCGTCCCTGCGTAAATATTATGACTGCATTGCACAAACAATATACATTTGTAAAAGAAGAGAGAGGTGGTGGGGGGGGGGAGTCCAACATGTAGCCTTCCGTAAAAACGACGCGCATTATTTCTTGCCATATCGGCATTAGTTTGTGTGGTATTAGCAGATCTAACAAGGCTTTTGCCTGATTTTCTTATTTAAAGAAGGTCCGGGAAAATGTTTACATTTTGTTGTATAAACATCCTGCCCAAGTCCCTGACTATCTTTCACAGAAATCCGGAGGCAGATTTTGAATGTGAGGAGCGCGCTGTCAAATAGATAGTTTTATATTTTTTATGTCTTTTTTATTAAAGTATTTAATGTGAGTCATATCCTTCCTGCTGCAGCTTCAACGAGGCTCATTGACTCACTCGCACATTAAAAAAACGAGACATACTGCATAGATTGGATGTTTTCAAATGAAAATATTTTTGTTTAAATTAAAAAAATATATATTAATGCATAAAAAACAAACATAAACTCAAATTGGAATACAGTATGACACAAATCCGCAGCGGAAGACAGATGCATATAGTTATTTTTTTTATGATCCAGGGGTGTAATGAATAAATTAATTTCCTCGAGATAACATATAAAATCCATATCTGTTAGATATAAAAAAACAAATCATTTTGCTAAAAAACGGTGAGCGCATGCACGCAGATGTGCGTGTGTTTGCAGCCCACCACTGGAGTAGGAGGGGACTGGGCGGGCCCCCAGCATTAGGATGACAAGGCTTACAGCTTCCAATGCGCCGATGGCAACAGATAAGTAAAAAGTGAGCTCCGCGGACGCACGACAACACACCAACTGAAGTGGAAAGCGGCTCCTGTTCTCCTCCGTGCTCCATTTCGGACGTCGCCTTTTTTTTTTTTTTTTTTAAAGAAAAAGGAAACAAAACGCTCCGGCTTCAGACTCCAAACAGGACAGAATTAAAACCAACGAAGGAGAGTCTAAAAGACAATCGTCCGCTTTTGGGTTTGGGGTCTTTTCCCACCCCTCCTCTTTATGCCAGGGAAGTGTTGTCAGACTTTCTAACCATAAGTGGAGAAATATATATACATATATATATTTTTTTGTCTTTGCCACCTCGAAGACTGAATCCAGGCAAACTAAATGACGGCAGAGGTCCAGCAGCCCCCAGCGCAGCCTCCTGCCCAGAGCAGCCCGATGTCCGCGCCGGAGAAACCGCATGGACAGACTGTGGTGATGGAAACCGCGTCCTCCACCACGAAAACCAAGAAGACGAACGCAGGGATCCGGCGACCAGAGAAGCCCCCTTACTCGTACATAGCCTTGATAGTCATGGCCATCCAGAGTTCCCCAACCAAGCGGCTGACGCTCAGTGAGATCTACCAGTTCCTGCAGAGCCGCTTCCCGTTCTTCAGGGGCTCGTATCAGGGATGGAAGAACTCCGTGCGTCACAACTTGTCTCTGAACGAGTGCTTCATTAAGCTGCCCAAGGGCCTGGGCCGACCGGGGAAGGGCCACTATTGGACTATCGACCCGGCCAGCGAATTCATGTTCGAGGAGGGCTCCTTCAGAAGGAGACCCAGAGGCTTCAGGCGCAAATGCCAGGCGCTGAAGCCCATGTACAGCATGATGAACGGCCTGGGATTCAACCACATTCCCGAGGCGTACAACTACCAGGGCAGCGGCGGGGGCCTGTCTTGTCCGCCCAACAGCCTGTCTCTGGACAGCGGGATCGGGATGATGAATGGACACTTGGCAGGTAACATGGATGGGATGGGTCTGTCCGGCCACTCCATGTCTCACTTGTCGGGCAACAGTGGACATTCCTACATGGGAAGTTGCACGGCGTCCACTGGGAGCGATTACCCCCACCACGACAATTCCGCCTCCCCGTTGCTGACCAGCGGGGGAGTCATGGAGCCTCACCCCGTCTACTCGAGCTCGGCTTCGGCGTGGGCCTCGGCCCCACCAGCGTCGCTCAACAACGGGGCTTCGTACATCAAGCAGCAGCCGCTGTCTCCGTGCAATCCGGGGGCGAACAGCCTGCAGCCGAGCTTGCCCACACACTCACTGGACCAGTCGTACCTGCACCAGAACGGACACAGCACCACAGATTTACAAGGTACACTTAAAGCTTACGATGTCACGAAACTGTTCAATATTCCGCGATGCAGCTGATGTGGAAATTCACAAAGAAAACAAATAAAAAGACCACACTCCAACACGAGAAGCACAAAATTTAATTCGCGCGAAAGAAGTAGATTTTGTTTTATAGGCAGCATGAAAAAAACGTACACGTCGGTTTTTGTGCCAAAAACCGCAACGTTATTTCGCCGTCAAACAACACAGCCTTAACTCTGCTGCTTTACTGCGGAATATCCGAAATTAATGCCACCGGGATTAATTACCACCTATTTTATCCTTTTGAAATTAACACGCACAAATATCAGTTTCCGTTTGAATAAAACTTGCATGAAAACGAGACGTTTACTTTATTTTATGGAAAGGATAAGGACAAATAAGGCGTGGGGATGGCAGAGAAGCGTGCCAATCTCGGCGCTATAAAAACAAGCGCGGTAAGGTCCAGCCTGCCTTGCCCCGAGGGCCCCGGTCCTCCGGGACTGGCGTGCAAGAGGGCCGCTGTCAATTAACCCTTCTTAGCCCGCCTCTGCTTTCGACGATCTTGATTCTGCCTGTTTAATGAACTTCGGCTTTGTGAGAAAGAGAAAAACAAAAAGAGAAAGAAAAACCACATAAAAAAAACAATGTGTTCAACTTATAGTTAAAATTATGCAAACAAACGTGTACTTTGGAAAATTTAAAATTAAAACTGAAAGAATGTGTTTTTGTTTAACTGTTTAGAAGAGCCGGGATTATATTTTCAGTTTACTTATTCTATGCCAATATAATCATATTTTTATTGCTCTTGTATTTACAAATAAATCTAAAAAAAAAAAATAAAAATGAATTTATGGCATCTTCAAAATTAAATTTCCCAGAAGTTTTTCATTTGTTTTTTTTTTTTTTTTTTTTTTTTTTTTTTAATATTCCCCATTCTCTCTCCGCAGGTATTCCTCGGTACCATTCCCAGTCTCCCAGCATGTGCGACCGGAAGGAGTTCGTGTTCTCCTTCAACGCCATGACGTCCTCCGCCATGCATTCACCGGGAAACAGCTCCTACTACCACCACCAGCAGGTCTCCTACCAGGACATCAAGCCGTGCGTGATGTGAACCCCGCCGGGACACGCTGCACACCGCGTGGACGGTGTGTGTGTATGTGTGCGTGTGCGTGTGTGAGAGAGAGAGAGAGAGAGAAAGAGAGAGAGAGTCACTTGGACTGGAGCCATGCAGACAGCAGCACGGGAACAGAGAATTAAAACAATAAAACAACAAAAATCACCACTGAGAGACTTTTGTGCTGAGGAGAGAGCTCCTTGCTTCCTGTAGACCGGACTACTTCTCTGTGTTGTTGGATACCAGACGACTGAAGCCACACAATAATAAAATAATAATAATAATATATAATAAAACAAACAATTCCATACCTTCAAAGTGGCATAACAAAGAGAGAGAGAGAGAGAGAGAAAATAAGAAACTTGCTGTTTGGTACTTAGTCCTGCGGAGCGGATGACCTCTCACTTCTCACATGTTTAATCATTTTGTAAAATATGCACACCTTCGTTTTTTTTCCGTTTAAAGTTATTATTATTATTATTGTTATTATTATTATTATTATTCCTAATTTTCATGTTGTTGACAAATTAGCTGGAACAAAATACCCGGCGTTGATTTCTGAATAAATAATTATGGACATTACATAGGCCTATATACTGTACGTCCATACTGTATACTGTGTAAAAAAAATGGCACTTTTTGAATAGCCTATAAGCGCAACTTTTTATTTATTCTCTAGGCCTGTATTTTCAATTTCAGGCGAACTGGCCAAGGAGTTCCGTGCTTTATTGGCAATATTTGTCAAGACGCGTGTTATTTGTTTTAAAAAAAATGAAAATAAGGATATATTGTAAGCACTGTCTCGTTTGTCAAATTTATGTGGACTATTAGTGTAGATAGGCTATTATCAGGAAAAACGGCGAGGGTTCATCCTGTGTGAGCTGATGTTTCATCATTTTTTTAATTAAAATAAAACCACCCGAATTCTGGGGCTGATTGACCTTCTAAGTCCATAAAACGGGAGTTTATTTTGCATTTTAGAGGAATGTTGTGACGAACTATGTAAAGAAAAAACGGAAACCATTGGGAACCAACGTGCGTTTCGCTCAACAATAATTCAGATCCCTTCTTCCTAAAATTAGGATTTTTTTTAAAGAAATTTGGAGGGGAAATAAATCAATACGTTAAGTCATTCAAATTGAAAAATGGATCGAAATTAATAAATCAAATAAACTTTGATTCACAAAGTCAGGTGGTTGCACTGGCGTTCAAAATGTTCATGTTGTAAATATGAAACAAAAGATATCTCACTCCAGTGTAAATTTAAGATATATTACTCAAAAGTATTCATAATTTAAAGTAAAATAACGTAAAATTAGAAAAATGAATCTCAATCTGCATCAAAAATGCAAATGAATTATTTTTGCTATAGCCTTAATCCTTCAGGGCTACATAAAAAATACACATATGTAGTTGTGCAGTGACAAAAACTACATAATGAAGAATAATCTAACATTAATTCATTATTACGCGAAACAACACGACGCAATTAAAGTAAGCGCAAGTAATGAATATGTGTAGACCAGCGTGTTCGATTAATCGCAATAGACTTAAATCAAAACAGAATTCAGCACGGTGAAAGTTTAAGATTTTCTATGGGCATTACTTTTGGCTGCGGCTCTCATTTGTTTAGATACGAAGCGTCATCCTTTGAATTAACCCCAGGAAAGATTGCTACAATACACTTTGGTTCTAGAAGCTACTCTCTGAAGCCAAACGCAACACGACCTGCTCCGATTCACAAATCTTATAATCCGGAACACGCAGGATGGTCTTGCTAATCTTAGTCTGTAGGATTTGCTGGTGCTGGCGTCCAGGCATGCATCCTCACAGAGAGCAACGCACTCACTCCATTTAGTTGCTCTGATATCTCACATGACCACTGACTGAACCCCAGTGAAATACCACGCTGCGCGGCCTGAGCAGGGGCAACGGCACTTTAACTAACTGATGACATTTGCTGAGGTTCACGACTCTGTTGGGGCTCAGGAGAGAGAGAGAGAGAGACGCAGAGAGAGAGAGAGAGACGGGCAGCTGTTCCCAGGCCAGGCCTGGATGACAGCTCCATAAAAAGCCCGAGCCCCGCTCCGTGCAGACAGATGCACCGCGGGCTGGTGTCTCAGAGGAGCCGGGCTTTAGAGCCAACAGAGCTGGCGGTCATTTGTCAGGTAACATTGAGATCTGTAAAACAGAAACACAGAGCTACAATACACTGCACACCAATCAGGATAAGTGGATTGGATGATTGAGTTTCAGATGAATCTCTTGTGAGAAGCTCAGACAGACATTTTCAGAGGTGAGCTCCAGTGAGAACTTCAGAAAGGCAGTGACTCATTAGGAAAAAACTTTAGATTTGCTCCACTTTTATGGCGTCTTATGTGATACATTATCACCCCGTTTTCACAAAGGAAAACGATTGTCTAAAACGTCATGCATAAACGTAAGCTCTATACCATTTAGAATAGTTTTTAGTTTGAAGACTGAGCTCACAATTCTCATCTTTCATTTTAAGAAAGGGCACAAGTTCATCCTTTTCAACGTTCATCACAACCGAAACAAAGCTTGGTGCAACCGTTTCATTTGGAGAGGAAAAAAAAAAGATAAATGCTGTCTAATTATGACTGGGTGCTTTAATATTGTTATCAGACAGATTAAACAGAGGATCGAAACAGGATGTCACAGTAAAAAAAAAAAGTTGAAATGACTAAGAAGCAAATCTGCCTTAACGTAACAGCTTTACACAAAAATACAAACAATGATCTTAAACTCGAACTACAAAACCTGAATTTCGCAGGTTAAAAATCACACGAATAAGCTAAAAAAAAAATAATTACGGCCAAACTAGGGCTCTCTAGACTTACTAGATTTACATAAATCTTAGCTAAAATAGCACAAAAGGTTTGACTTTGAGTTTATCCAGTGGGACATGTGTGGTTTCAGTGGTTTCCAATGCTATCTTAAATACAAAATTTGACAACACTTCTGTTTTTCAGAATTGGATCAAAGAAAATGAAAAAAGAATGCTTTTAAAAAAAAAAAGATAAATTAAAGACATGGCAACTTTGTTCATGTAAGTTTTCTTGCAAACTGAAAGTTTCTTGAAATGTCATTGTAAGGTCTCATGCACCCATAATCAATATCATTTACATGGTTTCCAGATGGTGGAGTCATTTGTGTTGCCTTTTTTTTTTTTTTTTCCCTCCAACAGACTATCAGTCCTAAAAGCTTTTTTTTTTTTATAGCTGGAAAAGCTTGACTATGAAAAAATGAAAAATAAATTTAGTGTGTCTTTAAATTAGAACAGAAAGCTACAGAAACGTCGTGACCTGCAGCAAGAAATTACACAAAATAAACCTTCAGGAAGGAAGATGACCTAAACACATGGAGTGAGAGTTGGGTGGAAACAGAGAAAGGCACATGTGGGAATCTTTAAGCTTATTTCAAATGTTACTACAAACACAATTCAGGAAATGTTTCATACTGACCCTACGTTTAATTTCACCTCACACCTTCAAGTCTTGTTTTTGCTAGAAAACTACAGCGAACATTAAGCTCATGTAACAGATTTCATTTGAAATGATAAAAACAGATCAACACTTCTAAAGATATTAAACGTGCATTAATATGAAGGTATTTTGTGGCGGTGCGCTGCCTGCTGCCGTTACTGATCAGCCTCCTTGGCGGCGTCGCTTTTAGCATCTGGCGGGGACGCATTTGCCTTCGCAGCCGCGGATGGCTTTTGTCTCTGTCCGGACCTCTTGTGTCCCCGCTGGCTCTTGGCCAGCTCGGCCTGCAGGCTGTGACCGTTCAGGCTCAGGCCCTGCAGCGCCTCCAGGGCTTGGTCTGCCACCTGGGGGTCGCTGTAGTCCAGGAAGGCTCTGTGCTGCGCCCCCTGCCAGGTGAGCCTCAGCGGGGCGGCGCTCCTCTCCCTGAGCGCGGTCTTCAGCTCACTGACACGCAGCCCGGCGGGGATTCCTCCCAGGTACACGGTGGTCACACTTTGAGGGAGCTTCCGCTGGCTCGTCGCTTCGCCTCTGCCTTCCTCTGGGCCCTGCTCCCTCGCCACCCTCCTGCTCCTACCTTTCGCCACTTTGCCAGCCTCTCCCTCCTCATCTCCTCTGCCACTTCCCCTGCTGTCTTTCCTGGCTCTCGCTGGCTGCTGTCTGGGTTTCTGATCTGCCTCTCCTTTTTTCTCCCGTCTAGATTCCTGGCTGGTTTCTCCCTCGGTATCCTGTTGTGTATTCCGCCTTGGCCTCCGTCTGGGTTGTCTTTTTGGTTGATTAGTTTGCAGGCCGGGCTCTGCTGCATGCGACGCTGTCCCCAGAGTCACGTCCTTCCCAGCCTGTTCCTCCAGAGCACGCAGCTTCTTCAGGATGGGAATTTTCTCCAACTTTTCTGCATCCAGCTAAAGACAAAAGAACCGGTTTTAGCCCATACTGCCCGCCGTTAATAAATATCTTTACAGCAGCAGGATATTTCACTTCCCACACAGTTAAAAATAACCGCTGCCGTCTTGATTTGTTGGGTCTTCAAGTGTCCTGGCAGCCTTTGATGCTGACCAGTCATGTAAAGGATACAAGCCTATTGTTTTTCACACTGGCCTGTTTGACCCGTCGTTCCTCCTGAACCCTGCAGAGCCAAGGTGGCTGGGCAGAGCCGCCTTTGATGATCAGACTTGGCCTTCCTGGCTGGGAGGTCACTGGGCCTTGTTTACTTACATGTGTGTCTGAGAGAACCCAGAGGTTACACACAACATGGCCACAAGACGAGAATGATATGCTCGTCGTGTCGGGTGAGAAGAAATATTATCAACAAGAAATTCACACAAAGTCTCTGCCAGTGGAAATAAATCAGGAGGAGGATTCAAGCCACACCATATAATAAATAGACAGGAAAGAAAGTAAAAATTGGACATCGTACAGAAAGGATGCGTTCATACAGCAGATGTATTGCGTATTGAAGGCTATATGAGTGAAACATTTGCATAAAGAAACACTTTTAAAACACTCGTGTCTCATAAGAACATGAGTAAGCGGGGTTGGTCCACTAGGGGGCAGTGTGACCTTAAAGTAGGTACTGGAGCTCAGTCTGGGGTACTGGAGCTCAGTCTGGGGTACTGGAGCTCAGTCTGGGGTACTGGAGCTCAGTCTGGGGAAAAGCCCTTCAGGTAAAATTACATTTGCAAAAGCTGCCTGATAACAGCCTAGAGGCTTCCAATATGGAACAAGAACATCTGTAAAAGCATCAACAAGAGAAATAAGCAAGCAAGTTCACTGTCTCAGCAGAAAAAAAAATGAATGCAATCATTTTAAAAATTTTATTTCTTTATATAAAAGTAATTAAAAATATATATTGTAAATATTCAATATCTGAGTTGGGCAGGGGGGGGGAAGACCTTAGAAGTACCTAAAAAGCAGTAACACTGTGGTAAAATAGTTAATAGGAAGTGAAAATATTGACACATTTTACTAACTTATGACCAAGAATTAGTATGTATATTTGATAAGGGTTTAATTGTACCTTTTAATTACCATTTTGTAAACTGTATACCAATGTGCCTCTTGGCCAGGTCTCCATCAAAAAAAGAGATTTTATCTCAAAGGCTTTCCAGATATAATAATGCTTAAATATTAAAAAAAGAAACACATATCACTGATGCAGTGCCTTAATTCATGCTATTGCTTTTCTTTGCATCTTATTTTCTTTTGTATAAATATATGTCATGGTTTTTAACATAACCATGACAAAGCAAGAAGTGTTTCGACGCAGAGGAGCAGCTGACTGGGCTTCTGAAAACAAAATAAATACTCTGCTGCTGGATGAGTAAAAAAAGAAATATCGCTGTGGTCTGAAGCAAAGCCAGCGGTGAGGAGGATTATGTTTATGGAAGTTTTCTATTCATATGTAATGAGAATGTTATGTTAGTTTCCTGGAAAATAAAATTGATATGTTTGGGTCATTGCGAAAGAAACAGCTGAAATACTGGAAAGGCAGCATTGTGCGCTACATACCGGCAAGGCTGTGAGCAGATACAGCCGAATCAAGCTACACACAGGCGTTAGGTCGCATTCAAAGTATGGAAAAGG